TAGTATACGGCAAATAGAACAAATAAAACTCACACACCCTCCTCACCTAAGGCAAGGTTTGAACTCTTGACCTCCTAGAAGGCCAATGACTCACATACCGCTAGGCCAAAGGGCCTTTGGTAAGTCCTTTAATTTTTTAGCTATGTCAGAAACTAACTTCCCCAAATAGTCATAGTTTACACAGAAACCTTACGCATTATGTGTAAGATTTGATCTCAGCCAGAAAAAATTAAAAGGAAAGTTTACGCACAAACCCCTTTCTGCGTATACTTTGCATGTGGGTGCCAACTCAGCTTCAACATGCCACCTAGACTGCCACATAATTAAAATATAAATATAGTTTATGCAGAAATCCTTATGCAGAAGGGTTTTTCTGCGTAAGGAATTCTTTTTGAATTTTGACAGGAACTTGCTTTTCAGTGTACGTTTTTGCCTTTTCAGTATCTTTTGAGTATGAGTTAACAACACCAATACGATAATTAAATGTTGAGTTATGATATTGGTCCATGTGTTTTGTTCTAAGGCCCAGTGAGATTCTCTATATATTTGGAAGTGTCGTCTCGTTATATTTACATTCACTTTTTGCATGTCTCTCGTTATTTTGTATTGCCTTTTTCCTCCTATGCTAGTGTTCTCTTTTTGATTTGGATTTCAAATGGTTGCTATGGCGGAGAAACTGAGGTTGCATATCCATGTTGGAGGAACATGGGAAAAAGTAAACCATATTATGGAGTAAGTATTTAATGAAGTTATCCAATGCGATGTAATGTTGCCACGCAACATTAAACATGACAAGTTGGTTAGTTATGTTGCACAAACATTAGAAATAAAAGGTGTAAGGTTATCGTACAAATATGATAGGTGTGTTTTCGAGTTAGGCAATGACAATGATTTTACCGGGTTACACTTTATTTGTCACTCGAAACTTTTGTTAGGGCCGTTTACCAAATGCTTACTCGGGTAAGCGCTTATCAAGTCACATTACCTCACTGGATAAATATGGCAAAGACCAATAATCTTACTCGGTAAAAGCAGAGGCAAGGACCGAGAGTCTTACCCGATAAGTGATAGCGTCAACTCTTACCATGGTTAGCGCTTACGGGGTAAGTCGTTACATATGATGTCGTTTTGGTAGACTAAAATCTTATAAGGTAAGTAAGCGATAACGTTGAATTTACCGTTAAGCGCTTACCAGACAAGTGTTTGTTCAGGTAAACGACCCCTTAGTGGTGGTTTTATCAACAACAGTTTCTACCTCAAGAGGAGGTTCCATATGTGCCTCAGTTTATGTCCCAAGAGGAACCTATATATGATTATAACAATGAGTGGATTGTTGATACTGAAAAAAACTGAAGAAGGTGTTGATGTTTTTAAATTGGGTATACCTGAGATGGATGATCCATATTTTGAAGATGGTGATGAAGAAGGAGAAGGAGAAGGAGAAGGAGGAGTAGAAGAAAAAATGAAGAAATACGTCATTCTAGTAGGACATTTACGGCTATCAATGATTTTTATGGTATGCCTCATATACTCCCAACACCAGAATCCACGATCACATACAACAAATCGCTCAATTATAATCTCACTACACACATTAGCCATGGAGAAATATGTACCCCTAAAAGAAGAAATGGTATTAGCCACAAGATTGAATTTTGGTCACGAGGGTTTTGAATTTAAAGTCAATAGATCATCAAAGAGTAGATATGAGACAATTTGTGTCCATGCAAATCGTGGTTGGATGAACAGGCCGAACTTAGTTGGAACAAGTCAAACATTTGAAGTTCAAAAATTGGAAGATCGACACACTTGTTCAAAAACCTAACTGCAACCAAATCAAAGGCAAGCGAATAAAAAGGTTTTGAGTCATATACCAAAAAATTCCCTTGTGGATGAGAGTCGAATTTAGCGGCAAATGACATAAGAAATTATATCAGCAAGCTATACAATATTTTCGTTTCCTAAAGAAAAGCTTAGAATGCGAGATGTCATGTAATGGATTTGCTTAGGGGTACCTGCAGTATTCCTTTACCAGCCTCCTTGTGTATTTTTACAATTTGGAGCTTCTGAATTTGGGTACTGTGACGAGTATAAGGACGGATGAGATGCAATGCATTCAAATGTATTTTGTCGCCCTTGGATGCGCGATATGAATAATTTTTAGACTTTTAGTTATAATAATATAATTATTAATTTTGATTTAAATCATGGTATTTCTTTTTAGATTCGGACGTTTTTGAATAATTTGAGGCCATTGATCGTAATAGACAGTGCTCATTTAAAGGAGGCGATATTTAGGCACCACGTTCTTGGTTGTTGGCATGGATGCAAATAACCGAATCATTCTGATTTCATTCGGATTTGGCAGATCGAAGAGTGGGAGGCATGGACTTGATTTTTGACGATGTTGCAGTAATGCGTAGGAGAAGTGGAAAAATTGGTATTCATCCCCATTAGAGCAGCTTCCAATAACCAAGCCATTACAGTTATCTATCCAAGTGCCCACCATGGGATTTGTTGTCGACATTTAGAGATGAATGTTTAAACAAGAGATAAATGGTTGATGGTTGAAGAAAAAATTATTTTGGAAGACAGTCAAAGCCTACACGGTTGATGAGTTCGAGGCATTTATGTACAACCTACTAGCTTGTGTACCTGATGGTACTCCATTTATGGACGAGCTTGGCCTAGAGAGATGGTCGAGACTTTACTTTCCTAGGATGCGGTACAATGTGATGACATCTAACAACGCCGATTCAATGAATACGTTGTCCTGGTTTGCTCGTAAACTACCAATTATTGCATTGTATGAGTACTTTTGGGGATTAAAACAACAATGGTAAGTTGAACGTCATGCAAAAACACTTAATTTGTTAATTACTTTATGTACAAGTATTATTCAAGTGTCACAATATTAATGTTAGAAATAGTTATTTGCAGCGCAACTTCAACATGATCCGACACCGTGGACATAAAGAAAAATATATCAACGAATTAATAAGTCAGCAACATGGAAGATACACCCCATGAATAACAATATGTATGAAGTTTGTGACGGGCATAGGGACATCACTATTGATCTACATAGTCGCACTTGTAGCTGTAGAAGATGGCAGCTTTCTATTTTACCAGGTGGCCATGCAATCGTTGTTGCGAAACAGTTACAGTGGGGAGACTGCAGTCAGCTGGCGTCGTATAACTACACGACGATCAGTTACCGGGCAACCTCCGATGTAGTTTATAACGACTTGGAGTAAGGTATTTATAGCCAAACATTGAAGTGGTATTGTGAATTTGTTGTCCTGCAATATTTGTCTAGAAAAGCCGATGAGATTCATCTGGAAAAACCTTACAGATTTGTAGGGGTTAATAACATTTAATTATATTTAATTAATTAGTAATCCATTAATTATTAGAAAATATTTAATTAAAATAATATTTATACTATATTATAAAACATTTGACAAAAACTCTTAAAAACCATTTTTTATGCATGAAGTACTGTTTATTGATGCATATTACTTTAAATTTAAGATTACAAGTAAATTGTGCATAAGTACAACTTATTAAAGCTTTATATTTGAATTCGTATAATTAATCGTAGATAAACATAATCAAATATTGGATAAACATCTCATTTTAAATATAAAAAWTHTAAAATATAATTAGGATAATCATTGAGTTATAACAGAATATTTTAGTTATTATCTTTATAAAAAATTATATTATTAAACCTAAATTAAWTTTTTTTGTTACYAAACCTAAATTAAATTATAATTAAAAAATTGAATTAAGAAAATTACACCAAAACACAAGAACTTTTAGAAAATGTTAATTTGATACTGATATCGATATATTTTTTTTCAAAATTTTAGAATATTTTCAAATTTATATTTTATTCAAAAATAAAAACACTATCGTTTTTTCAAAACCACATAAAACCGTATTATATAGACATAAAAAGGAATAAAACGAAATACTGAAATCAATATGTATCTCGATGCATTGCACGAGTACCCTTCTAATAACATTTAAAATTAATAATATTAAAGTAATACTATTTTCGTAATTATCTATAAATGATATTTATTGATCCTTGTCAAAGTTTTTTGTTATATTTCAAAGTCATAATATTGTAAAATATAACAAAAAAACTAACACAACTACTATTTCACGGAGTACTACAAGACATTCATCATCTCCTCTTAAAAGTTCCTAGCAGTAAATGTCATGTCTGGTCCAACATTTGGTTGTCTACCCTATATCAACTGCTGGATAAAAATACACCATATTTTAATATATTAAATTAATTAAAATAGTCATTTTCAGGCTTTGTTTTCTTCTTTTAACCATTTCTCTCCCAATATTTAAAAAATGTCACTACTTCCACAAGTGACAACTAATCAACTTGCAAAGAGGTAAAATGTAGAAAAAGTTATTGAGCCAAGTTCACAAGTATAAGAACCAAATCTGTAAATTAGTCATAATACTTTTGCAAGTGGCGGAAACGCATTAGCTGTCTATTGTCAAATTGGGCAGTAAGGGTCGAAGAAGGGCAATCGCTCATTCTTAAAACCAGCGTTCTTAAAGCTAAAGAGTGGATGGAAAAGGAGGAAAACTCTCTGTTCTTGGTTCTCCTATAACTGGATCCTCCAGAACCACAAGAATTCTTAGTTAGAATTAAATTAGAATTCCGACTTAACACCTTTTGCCACTTGTATACCTTAGCGTTCTTTACCTGTGGACCTGATTCAGAATTTTTTTACGCTTTAACCCCTATACAAATTAAAGATTTACCACTCAAAAAGTTAATGACATTTTCAAAATTATTGAAAAAAAAAGCTAAGAAAAATGAGTATTTTTATGAATTTCCAATTAACATAACTCGATAATATCCTCTTGACCCACAAGAGATTGAGAAGACCATAAATGCTCTTCATTTGGTTCTCTCTTGTCATTTTCTTCCCTCTTCTCAAGTATTTTGCTCTTTTAAGTAAAAGCAAAACAGCCAAACGTTCATAAATCCGATAGACATCCATCCTATTTTTGGTGTTATTATTACAAATTTAAAGAAAAAGAGTCTCAAAGAATCCTGTTTGCGAGATTCATCAATAATGGAGGTTTACACATACCCATCTCATTTTATGCGATCATCTTCACGAATTTCTTCAATTTCATTTAGGAATTTAGTCTGCAAAGTTAAAGATTTCTTGAGCTCTGCAGTTTCTGCCATTATTGGGAATCTCTTCTCTGCAATTCTTACCTTCTTCTTTGCATTAGGTATGTCTTCTCTTCTGTTCGTTCTTCTTTCTCATTGTTTTCCATCTGAATTTGATTCAAACCCACTCCTTAATTGGTTTTTTTTTATGTGGGTTTTCTGTAATTTGAACTGGGTTTTCGTTCTTAGCTCCCAATTAAACATGTTTTTGTTGATCGTTTATATAGGGTTAGGGTTAGGGTTAGGATCGTTCTTCTTTGAATTATGCTTCAACTACATATGTAACCTTTGGAAATATCAAGAGATTAATTAATAATGATAGATATACGAAGGATGTATAGATTAGATGATGGTTTCCATCGTTTTTGCTGGTAATTTAAGCTATATTTGTTGATATCTTGCAGTAGGAACTTTACTGGGGGCAATGACAGGGGCTTTGATAGGCCAAGAAACAGAGAGTGGGTTTGTTAGGGGGGCTGCAGTTGGAGCCATTTCTGGTGCTGTGTTTTCGATTGAAGTCTTCGAATCATCGCTCATTTTGTGGAAATCTGATGAATCAGGGATCGGATGTCTTCTTTACTTGGTGAGCAAGTGAAAATTTCACCCTTCTTTCATAACTCACAACCATTCACAATTTGATGAGATAAATCAAGAAATGCTTCAAAGTTCATGTTTTTAGCACGAACCCATCTCTATATCCATCGAAAAAAGACGATCGCTATGAAAATTAGGTTAACAATGGTTGTCTGAAAGCTATCTTTATCTATATTTTGTCATAATCTTCAAGATTAAGGGGTTGTTTACCACCTGCCTACCGCCTCTTACCTGGTCAGAGATGCTTTTGTTTACTTCTTACTGATCAATGATGATCACCTGGTAAGCTAAGGGAGGTACTCTTAAAGGCCATTTACCACTTACCGGGTAGAATTGTCGGTAAACATCATCATCTCTGACCAGGTAGTGCTGACCCTGACCCCGACCCCTCACTTACAGGGTAAGATTTTTGGTTAGTAAAAGGGTATGGTAAGATTGTTGATAAACATCATCATCTTTGCTCATGTAAGTGTCTCTTATCTGGTACGAGGTGGTAAATGTTTAATAAACAGCCCCTTACTCGGTTAATGCCGACCCAGACCACCTTCTTTACCCAGTTAGCGCTTCCTCAATTTGTATTGGTAAATGGCTCCTAAATGGCAATGAATCGTAGATGAGTCCTTTAAATCTATTGGTTAAAGCTACGATTCCCATTTTATGACTAGGCCGAAACTAATGGTACTTCTTATGCCAGATTGATGTCATTGTAAGCTTGTTAAGTGGGAGGCTTGTACGTGAACGAATTGGTCCGGCTATGTTGAGTGCGGTTCAGAGTCAGGTAAAATTTGCAAAATTTGGCGAACCCCGGTTCGTTTATTGTTCCAAATAGCAGTATGAAACAAATTTCAAAAAGGTTCCGGCTTTCTTCTTGTTCTTGATCTTTCTGCCATTAATTTAGATGGGAGCCGTTGAAACGAGATTTGATGAGGTCCATAACATATTTGACATCGGGGGATCTAAAGGCTTAACGGAATATTCGGTAGAACTGATTCCCAAAATCGCGTTCAGTAATGACAACGATGTCGATGAATCGGGAGAGCGAGTCTCTTGTTCAGTGTGCCTTCAGGTAATATGGATTCTTTATCATATGTACTTTCCATCCAAGATTTTGCTCTCAAATCAACAGTTGATACCATTATTGCCATCAAGAGATGGTAAGAACGTTATCAACCGTTGGATTTCCAGTAATCAAACGGTCAAGATTAATGAACCCACTTTGACTTTTCTGTGGATACCGTTCTTGTCATCTGCCAATCTTTCTAGCAGACAACAAGAACGATATCAACCGTTGGATTTCGAGCAATCTAACGGTCAAGATTGATTGAATCCTACTTTTTGACTTTTGTATGATGTTGATTTCAGGATTTTCAAGTTGGAGAAACTGTGAGAAGTTTGCCACAATGTCATCACATGTTTCACCCACCTTGCATTGATAAATGGCTGGTGAGACATGGATCTTGTCCACTATGTAGAAGAGATCTCTAATTTTTATTTTTATTTTTCTTTTTCTTTTTCTTTTTCTTTTTCTTTTTATTTTAATTTTCTGTATATTCCCACATGAAATTTTCTGAATTTTGACTTCAGGATTTATTTTACTACTTCGTCTTTATGGCATTGAATAAGCAAAACCCTAAAAAGATAACCTTTTTACATCTCACTTATCTCCTAGTATTCGATCTCAAGGGTCGGGTCGGTTTGGTTTGGTTTGCGGGATCTGTTAGGATTTGGAACTGGTTTTTCATTCTGATCTTGTGTTTGGTTTAAAAGAAAGTCTAGAATGAAAATATCAGTATTTCATTGAAATCCTACAGACATTGGATTTAGAACGCTTATGGGGTAGTTGGTATTTTTTGGAATTTTATAGGATTTGTTTGTAATAAAGTTTTAAAATCTGTTAAAAACATTTGTTTTGTAATAATCAATTACTAAAAGATGAATCGATTATCAATTACCAAATCTTTTCAATTTTAAATTAAATCCAATTCTAAATCTTTCACGAAATCCCGATTATGACAATTGATTTTGACGTTTCCAAGATGCAAACAAAAATGTATAATTTACATGAAGATTGATGGGCTACAGAGAAATCAAACAAAACCAAATAATAATATCTCGAAGGTGGAATCTGGAATGGATGTTGACGTGTCTTCTATAGTGAAAGAGTAGAGCCATTATTTACGTTAATATACTTGCTATTTAGACACTTGCTAAGGTGTCGTTTATCAAACGCTTACCTGGTAAGCGTTTATCAGGTCATTTTACTTTACCAGATGAATATGGTAAAAACTAAAAAATTTATCCGATAAGAACGAAAGAATCGAGAGCCTTACAGGGTTGTTTTTTTTTACTATTTATGAATTGGGATATTTTTTGTTATTAAAGATCCTGAGTGATTGGAGGGTGGGGTCAGTATTGGAAAACAGATATGGAGATGGGATTTATGGACCACTATCTGCGTTTTGATGATGGAATTGGTGGCCGTTGAGATTTACATTGAAGCCAGGCTTGATATCACCTACTTCTGACCAATGTACAATTTATGTCGCATAACTTACGAGCTCTTTTAATATGGTCAATCTGGAATTTTAGATTTCAGCTCTGGCAAATACAGTCGTCTCATTTATTGGTTCTCCATCTCTATCTTTTCACCTTGCATTTATGTGGGGTTGATATTTTTATTGTAAAACTACATTTTTGGTCCTTGCAGTTTGTTTGAAATTATGGATATTGTCTATATGGTTTGTTTGTAGTTTGCAAATTATTATGGATTTGGTCCTTGTGATTGACGGCGTCGTTAAAGGGGCATTAAGAGAGACTACACACCAGGGGTAATTTTGTCTTTTTACCATTAAAGATGACGTGACATAAACTAATGAAATATTCAAAACCTAAATTAAACATGCTTAAAAAACAAGTCAAAATAATAATAAAAATCCTAGGTTTTGTTTGCTCTGTCTTTCTATTCTAAGTGTTGTTTCTTGGATCAGAAATCGTTTCCTGATGATCTTCCACACTTGAATTCCATTCCTCTTCTGCGTTTTGTCATGTTACAATGATCTTCCACTCTACTTGAAGCCATGCTTTCGTTATTTTGGGATCTTTCAAACATAATCATGGTGGATGAGGGAAGTGGAAACAATGCAACGGGGTTGCAAGGAGTGGTGTAGAGTCAACACAAGCCCTGAAAAAGATGCAGACGCGTGCACAGGATGTTTGGGGAAGAAGAAGATGATGATGCAATCGAGCTTTATAAGCAAATGCAGACCAGACAACATCGGCGGTGTTTGGAGAAGAGAGGGAGGGCGAAGAAGGCGCAACTTTTTAAAGAAAAGGCAAAAAGATCATAATGCCCTCGTGTGATGGACACGTAACGTCTCGTTTAACGATGTCCTCAGTCACATGGACCAAATTCATAAGGATTTGCAAAGCACAAGGACCTTCAATGTAATAAACAAAACCACATGGGCAATATTCATAATTTCAAACAAACCACAAGGGCCAAAATGTAGTGTATGATGTGCACATTAAATTTCTAGTTCATGAGGTATAAATAATTGGGAATGAAGTCACATATTCATTTATTCTCACAATGTTGAAAGACATTTAATCGATATGTATATAATAATCTTGGAAATGGAATGAAATAATTATATGTTCGTTTTTTTTTATCATAATATGAAAAGATACCTGATTCGCATGTGTAATAACTAGTTGTGTACCTGCGTAATGCGGCGGGAACCATGAATTTTTAACGATTTTGAAGTTTCACTGGTTTTATTAGATAAGATTTAACGATGATATGAGTTACACTTGGTCTTTACATATTAATACAATTTGAATAAATAAGAGTTATGATTCCAATTGTAGTCTATCGATGGAAAAAATTGTATGTCAGTTTAAAATCCAACATATTTAAACGACTCCACAAATGTGTTCGATTTACATCAAGAGCAAAGAATCAAGAGACCGAGAGTTCTAGAGCAATTGAATGAGAGATGAATGAGAGAACTTTTAATAACTCGTGGTGAATATCAGTTTGAATCTCACATTGGGGGATGGGGAGAAGACATAGATATATTAGAGGGTGAAGGCATGATTGAAAGGTATCAAAAGTATTTTGGAAACATGAAAAGAAAAGGTAATAATATGTATTGGTAACTTGTACTATATGTTATTTTAATTGTAGATTAAGAAATTTTAAGACTGAATGCATAAAGTAATAGTAATTGATGCATTATGAGTTGATTTTAAGACTTTTAAGACTTTGTACATAAATGTATAGTACTTTGTACATTAAAAATTATTTTTAAGACTTTTGATAAATCTGGTTTATAGATAATCAGGGAAATCAATTGTTCTCATCCAACTTTTATTTATAAGTCATATTTTCAAGTTAATTCTTAAACTAGTCATTTTTTATTTAAATGCATATCTTTTTATGGAAATTTGTACTTTTTATACGCAAATGCTCGTTTTCTTCTTTTCTTCTTATCAGAAAAATGTAGTTTACGTCAATGAATAAAATATTTGCGTAAAAAATAATTGTTTATTACTTTCAATCCAGTTTTCTCATTCGTTTTACTGTTCAACCAAAAAACCATCGTTTTCGGACATGTTTGTCTGCGGTAAACGATGACATGGCATGTGCATGAGTGAATCAACCATAACATCGTCTTTTGGGTAAAAAGTAAAAAAAGGGAGATTAATTGTACTCCTATACATTGCTAAATGCACATTTATCTAATACTTTCTTTCTCACATATATCAACTCACTTTTTACATTCTGAATGCATGAATCAACCCGATTTTAATATTAAAGAAGGTGCAAACAGCAATCCTCAAAATAAAAACGATAGCAAAAACTGGTTATTACATGTACAGCAATTTATATTTAAAAAAAATAGAAGTTAATGACAATATTGAATGTCAAAACATCAAGACAACCACTGAAACACACAGGGTCCATCCTCAGGGTTTTTTATGCCCTCGACGAAAACACTTAAACATGCCCCGATTAAAAAAACGCTAAATTTTTTAAGGTTTATAACAATATTGAATATGATGTTACACCATCGCTATTTTTTTGTTACAGTAACTTCAAAAATTATAAGTTCATTATTAATTTCAAACTAATTATCATTTTATTAAAAATGTTTATGCTTTTGAATTTATAGTATGTTATTAAATGACTAGTACTATGCATTATTTAAATTAATTTTTTAATTTTTTAATTATGCATCTATTTATTTCTTGCTATCTTAATGTATGTGTCAATGTTTTGTCTTCTATTGTATATTATATATTAATATAAATATAATTTATCGTATAATATTAACAAATATTTAAGGGTATTGTTTGTTTTTTCAAAATTATCTCTTAATATATTTGAAGTCTGATTCATTCAGACGTTTAAGTGTCAAGAGTGTTTGTTTTATTTTTAAAATAAGAGCTTAAAAGATCTAAATATTCTTTGAAATTTTAAATGGTAAACGTATCCCTTAGTATCTCTTAATTTCAACTCACCCTGTATCAAATGGTTCGTATTTTGGGGTTGGTAGAGGTTTATTGGCAAAAACTATTTATTTTTTATACTTTTCAAAAAAATCTTTATCTTTTATATTTTGTATTAGTTTGACCGATTCAGATTTAAGACTTCAGACGTAAAAACAAACAATCTTACTAATCCAGATTTCTGACTTCAGGATTATCTCTTATAAATCAGAAGTGAAATCATACTTTAGACATCGGCATCTCTTAAAAAACAAACGTTGCCTTAGATTAAATATTATTTACAATCAAATAAAATATATTTATATAAATATAAAACTTTGAGAGATAATATTTTATGATAAAAATAGTTTAAATACTAAATTGATATAAATGAATGGTGTTATGCTATTCATCAGTAAAAAGTGGTGTAAAATCTAGGATTTGGTGTTGGGTTGGAGATGTCCTAATAAATTTATATATAACGTGTACTTGGAATATAAAGGTAAGGGGCCGTTTACCTAAACACTTACTCAGCAAGCACTTACCGGTAAAATTCAACACTATTGCTTACTTACCGGGTAAGATTTTATTCACTAAAATGCATCGTATGCAACAATTTATCCCGATAAGCACTAACCATGGTAAGCGTCATCGTCCTCACTTACCGGGTAAGACTCTAGATTCTTGTCTTCGTTCTTACCGGGTAAGATTTTTAGTCCTTGTCATATTCATCCGGTAAAGTAAAGTGACTTGGTAAGCGTTTACAGAGTAAGTGTAAGCGTTTAATAAACGACCCATTAGTCCTCATCCTTTGAATAATAACACATTAACCCCTCAAACTAACAGTTTTAGTTAAAAGACATCCAAGTCTTTTCTTTGAAATCATCATTACAATTTATCTGTATCTTGGGGGTTACAGTTAATCTTGGATCCGATATGAGCCCAAAAGGTCAAACATAGATTGGTAGAGCCGACAATCATCTATAGTTTCGTTGAAAACCTCTCTTATAACCAAGTCCAATTAAGGGACCGTTTACCCCTAAGAGTCCGTTGATCGTCTCGAATGGCTCTTTTGAAGAGTAACATGAAGGCCCTACATATCCAATGAAGATCGTCCCTTCCAAGAATATTCGTGTATTTCAGAAAAAAAAATAATAATAATATCATACGATCAAATCGCTGTAACATTATGCTCGTCTTATCAAGTTTGAATCTTTTCGTGGTCATATTCAAGGGTTTTAAACCGAATCAAAGATCAGATGAAATTTTGTTCATCTTGAATCCAAAGATGGTTTTCGTAGTACACCCGAACAATGATTCCACCACAGCGAAGCCGCGCTCCTCCAGCCGTTAAGAAAACTCTATCAACCAATCGGAAAAAACGATTCTGAATTTCTAACAACATGGTTTTACAGCATTTACACAGTGATTTCATAGAACTGAAGATTCTTCTATCTTTTCTCAGGATTCTACCATTTGTTCTTTTTATCTCTCAAGAAACCAAATAACAAAGTGGTTTTTTAAGTTAAAATGTTACCTTGGCTTGTACATCAAAGAATTAAAATTAGAGATGGATAAAAACCGACAGAATAGCTCAGGCGGCGGCGGTGTTACTGACTTCCGTGGTGGTTGATAGCGGTGCCAAAGTTTTTGCCGGGAGGTGGACACCGCCCCCTCTCAAAGATAGAGTCGGGCCTTTACACGAGGAGCTCGCTTTACTCACTAGATTCAAATCCAGAAATACAACTACGACTGTGATGTCATCATGGAAATGACGCCTTACTCCCCTTTCGATTCTTTTTAAATCTGAATACCTCATTTCTCTTTTCTTTGCCGCCTCTTGTAACGCTGCTTTCACCAACCTTCTAGCGCTTCCCTACATCAACAAAACCACACAAAATCTTTCAGTTCTCACTTTTCACATCGACAAACTAGCTAATAAACTAGTTGTTGGCTGATTAGCTAGTTGTTAGCTGGAAAAAAAACTAGTTGTTAAATGCAAAACTAGTTGTTTGCTAATAAGCTTAACTGATACGCTAGTTAGGGGCTATTTGGTTGGTTTTCCATTTAAGTCCTGTATGGATAAAGTTGTATGTATGAATTAATCTGTTTGTATAGATTGGGAAGGTTTTGTTTGGGAGGGCTTTCTTTAATAGATGGAAGGAGAGTGTTTTTTTTATTGGGAGGGGTAGTTCTAGAAAAAACTTGACTTTCTGCATAAAGCTTCCCCTAGACACTTACTGAACAAGCCACTTTATATATCTTTAACCCACTACCAAACAGTCATTTATAGCTGACCGAATAAGTTGAGTCCTATTAAGCTGCTAATAAAGAGGTCCTTAATGTTTGATAAGTGCTAGCTAGATAAGTTAGTAATATGACAATGTAAAATGACCTAAAAGGACGGGTTGAAACATTAATTGGAAAAATATTAGGGGCTAACGGAATAAGAACAATATTCATGAGGGAAAATTCCTATAATGACCCGGTCACCATATCAAGATTATAGCTAATGGAATAGAGAGCAGGTTGGGTTCCGGTGAGAAATCAAAATTTCATGAGAAGCACTTTATTAGCGGATGTTCACACAAGTTAACATATGTTTAACATTTTATTATAACGTTACGTTCCTACGGTCCTCACGAAATTTTTGTTTCTCACGCGATCCCAATTCTAGAGAGAGAATGCAAAAGACACCCCAGAAACAATATGCAGCACTTATTTCGGAAAGGAGGAAACAATGGAGACGGAAATGTATTATCATCATAATCAACAAGCCCCATGTTTGGCAAATCGGCTTATAAGGTAGCAATTGGCTGAAAAGCTAGCAAATAAACTAGTCATATTTGGTAAAAACTAGCTAAGAAGCGAGATGACAATGTAAAATGACCTAAAAGAACACGTTGAAAAATTAACTAGAAAAGTATAAGGGGCAAAATAGGAAGAAAAAAAAATGCTTGAATCTTGGCAAAATGGAAGAGAAAGGCAAAAAACGAATACATAAAATACAAAAATAATGCATTCGATGAAGTATGATTCTTACATTATGAGGGTGATTTTGCACTATATCAACAGCTTCCTGATTGCTAAGGTGCTCCCAAAGACCATCAGATGCAAATATGAGAAACCGATCTTCAGGTTGAATTTCATGAACGGATATTGACGGGTCTGCACTCAGTATCGGCCTTCGAATAGGGTCACGTAGCCGAAACTTAGCATACAACGGTTCCCTGTTAAACTCTGCTTTTTTTAGGTATACATCACCTATAGATCTAGATATCTGCAACACCATTTCAAGAAACAAGAACTAATGTAATCACCGAAATCATCATGAGAAATCAAATTAATATTATATACTTCAAAAAGAGCCTGAAGGAACGGCCAAATAGAAAAATATCAAGTGATTAACTTTACAACCATTGTACTTGGTTTCTTTGACAACAGAAGGTGAAAAATTGTCGATTCATGGGTGCTATAAGGACCATTAAAAGGGGTCAAATTGGAATCTTGAAGTTAAGTAAGACAGATATGTTACTGTGTTTCTTACGAACATGTGACCAAGTGACGGAAAAGAGCTGCAATTTGACGGACCAGATCATGCCAAGCAATTGGATCAAAAAATGCCTGCTGACTTAGCCCGTCTTCATCAGTTCGTCCAAGCTATAAGAATACCCGTCATTCTCATTCATTTTCCAAAAGTGTCTAAAGTAACCGAGACACTTCTAAAAATAGAAAACATTACTAAAGGGCCATTGGCCTAGCAGTATCCGGGTTACCAGTAGAGCCCAACCTCCATGAGATCAAGGGTTCAAACTTCAAACCTCACCAAAAGCGTAGACCAGTTGTTTTCGTGAAGAACCCGGCTTGGAAAACGTGTGCAAAAAAGAAGGCTTGCCCAAAAAGTTTTGACTAATTTAAACTCCGATAAGAGGTCATGTTTTCGAAAGTGCCTAAGGCTCCATGTCTATCCTTATCGAACCTCTAATCATGCCTCCCTTTCATAAGTTATACTTCGCAACGCTAGACCATCCAAAAGCCTAAGCTAACAAATAGCATACCATTTCAAACGAGACTCACTTTCTCTACGTTCGTTGCAAAATCCATGTTCCAAAGGGTCAGTAACAATTGCATTTTGATCATGCCTAGCTAGGCTTACTCGAGAGGTTGAAACTTACTCATGATATGCTACAACTCTATTGTTTGAATCAACGTTTGTGCATTCCCTAATGAATCACAAAAAGTGCGTCAAAGGGTAGGGCGTAGGCAACAAAGGTTCACCCCCTCGGGTGTGGTTTTACCGAGCCTAAAAACAAATTTGCACTTTGGTCACTCAATTTATGCTATTAAGGCTGCTAGTAAGCTAGATTATATACATCATTGGAACTTGTGGCTTGATGAAAACAACAGGAAAACACAGTTCAAGACATAATAGTAGGCGGTCTCGGTTGGTAGAACCGAGCCAAACCAAACGAGCTCAATATATCCCATACAGAGGTACGGTATGGTGGTAGGATGTATGCACACATTTCCTCTATCCATGGGGTAAAGAGGTTGTTTTCGTGAAGCCAATTAGTTGGTAAGATCATACTGTATATGTATTTATCCTCTTAAAATAAAAGAGTAAACTACGTTTTCCATCCCTATGGTTTGTTGAAAATTGATATTTCCGTCTGTATGCTTTTGAAATGACAGTTTCATCCTTGTGGCTTGTAATTCATTGTAGTTTTTCGGACGAAAATAATGAACTACAAATCACCGAGACGAAAAACATAAATTCGAAAGCACAAGGACGAAAAAGCCACAATTTATAACAAACCACGGGGACGATAAACGTGGTTTACTGTAAATAGAACTTTCACAAACTAATAGAAAGTAACTATTGCACGCAAACGGATGGCCAATATATTTATTGAATTGATCCCGTTCCTGTCGATGCTCAACTCCTCAAGGCAATTAAGGAAAAAAATTCAAGAAAGCATACAAAGATGAAATAAAAACTAGCTACAATTGGACCACCATTCATTAAAAGACAAATTTGCCCATAATCATCTACCATGTTTGGCTATGTCTGGCAAGTTAGCATTGGCCGATAAGATAGCTGATAAAATACTCATGTATCATGTTTAGTAAAAACTAGTTGATAAGCTAGATGATAATGCAAAATGTAAAACGAGCTAAACAAACATACTGCAGAAGTAATTGGAAATATAAGGGCCATAATTGAAAATAGTGGAAATAAGCCTCGAAGCTTATTGAAACGCTACTTGAAGTAACTTTTCAAAAAGCTAGATTATGGCTGACTAAACGGGGCTTTTTTAATAAGCTCAAAGAATAAGTTAGCTTATGGAGTTATGGTTGCCAAACATGGTCCAAGAACACAAGGAGCATACCTGTATGAGGCCCTTCACACGCCATACGTTATGTTTTAAAACTACAATATGAGGGTCATCAGGATGTAAACTATGAAGTTCCTGCCTAACGGATTCAATGCTTGCATTGTGTTCCGTTGACAATTGAATAGCAATAACTTCCCCGGTAGCCTTAACCGTTCTTCCCAAAACAGCACGTGAATCACCCGCATTCGCAATGTAAAGGGTTCCGCCACAAACCACACCAACCAAACAACAAGATCCCACAGCAGCCAACTGCGGTCTCACCATCCATTGTTTAGTAACAATTGATAAAAACCCTTCTTCAGTAGCTTGAAACGCTTTTTGTATAACATCCACTGACATGGATTGTTGTTCGGTAGTGAACCCTACAAAAACCCAAATCAAGTTAAGATTCAATATCAAATTTTATGCAACGAAACGATAGTTGACTGGTTCGGTTACTCACTTTTGAGATTCTGAAAAAGGTTATCGTTTACATAGCGTGAGGTTTCGGGTCCACCATGACCATCATAAACTCCAACAAAGGTTCCATATGGACCAGAATCAAGAAAACTCAATGAGCCTGACTCAATCTGGCTTTGATCCTCCAGCAACATATTGGCTTGAACCACGGCCATCGAGAAGTCACCATTCAAGTGGTGACCAATGTCTTTATACCAAAGAAGACCATCTTGTCGGCCTGCGGCATCCGAACCGGTATAAGCATAACGGTCAGATGGTCGCCAACAGGCCTTTAGAAAGTTTATCAACTTTGATAACATCCCTCATCTCACCACAGCTAACCACCAATTTCTCAACATCCAAAATTTGGATGTGAAGAACACTATGAACACCAAATCTCCCTTCCAACAGTTACAAATCCTTTTCAAGTTTCAGTTTCTCCTGCATACCACAAAGAATCAAAACTATATGCACAAATAGTCTTTTTTCCAACAATTTTCAAAGCTAGAAAGCTAAAAATCATTAACCATGGCCAAATTAAGATGAATCCTTGATGGGTTTCTAAAAAGATCACAACAAGAAGATAACCTAATGGCAAAACTAGAAGTCAAACAAGGTCTATCATACCAGTCAACATTTTGAACCTTGAAAATCTATTGATCAAAATAAAGGATACCCAAGTAATATATTCCAAATTCATCAAAAACCCAGTAAGAAAATTGAAACAAAAAGATGAAAAATCATTAAAAAGCAATAAAGATTAGACACCCATTGACTGTTTCTTTTTTTCTTCTTGTCTATATTGAAATAAATAAACCCTAAAGAAAGAAGGTTGAAGACTCACAGTTGAAAGTTAGGCTTGTTTTCAAGTGTAGGTTTCTGGTAAGCTACTGAATCATACCAAATGAAAAGGATGGAGATCTGAATGAGATTAGAGCAAACCCATGTGGGTTAAGATGGGTTAGATCTGTAGATCCATCAAAAATCCAAACTTTGTACATAAATATATACGTATATATGTTATATGTATATCTATTTGGGATATTTTCCTGTGAGCACAAACACAAAGAGAAGATGAAGATGGAGGGAGAGAGAGAGAGAGAGAGAGAGAGAGAGAGAGTTGGGCAGAGAGAAATGGGAAGATAAAGATAATTGAAGAGAGTGAAGAGAAGGGTTTTTCTTCTTCTTTTTTATTTATTATTTATTTTTTATTTTTTATTTTTTATTTTTAATTGAATTGAATTTAAACAATGAGTGTGTTTGAGATGGTGTTGGTGTTGTGTGATTAAACAAAACGAACATTGGCTTTGCTTTCAATTATCAGCAGACAATAACCCCTCTCTTCGTCTAGAAGATGAAAACCAACAAAAATACATGTCTCAAGGCCAGCAAATAATAAACACATTTTTATATTATGTATTTAATTTTTTATTTTTTTATTATATCTATACTATATTATAAAGCATTTGGCTAAAACTCTTAAAACCTCTTAAACTCTTAAAACTCTTAAACTCTTAAAAACTTTTAAACCCGTTCATCCTTATCCGATTTCATCCCATATCTGAATTCGTGTAACTAACTGCAGATAAACACAATCAAATACAGGATAAACATTTCATTTTAAATATAAAAAATCTAAAACATAATTAGGATAATCATTGAGTTATAACAGAATACTTAATTATTATCTTTATAAAATGTTATATTATTAAATCAAAAAGAAATTATTTCATTATTAAACTTAAATTAAATTATAATAAAAAAATAAATTAAAGAAATTACATAAAAAATGAAAACTTTTAAATAGTTGATTTGACATTAACAGTGATATATATATTTTTAAAATTTTTTATGATATTTTCAAATTTATATTTTATTAAAAAATAAAATCATTATTGTTTTTTTTTTAAAAACACATAATTTATACTATCTATACTATATTATAGAACATTTGAGAAAAACTCTTAAAAACAATTTTTTATGCAAGAAGTATTGTTTATTGATGAATATTAAAACATTTGACAAAAACTCTTAAAAATAATTTTTTATGCACGAAGTATTGTTTATTGATGCATATTA